AATTCAGAAAACTGTGTTTATTGTACATTTTTATACTCTTGTTTCTTCCTCCTGCTGCTTCATGACTTCCTCCTGCTTCTTTATGTCACTCATAAGTGCCCTTTATTTAAATATTCCAACACTGTCGACTCCCAGTGATAGATTCTGGGATGCATCAGCTCCTCACTTGTCTTAACGCTCCACATTTCTTGCTTAAAACTTAAAATGTTTGACCAAAGCTCTGCAGCTTCACACAGTTTAAAGGCTTCACTCCGCTGCCACCTGCTTTGTTTCTGTTTTATATTGTCACATGTGTCTGAGTCAGTTTGTGTTAGTTCAGATCCACCGCCTCGGATTTGGTTCATTTGGTTGTTGCTTGCAGAAAGTGGATGGTTGTTGAACCACAGAGATCTCGTACTCCAGCTGTTGTTCCAGATGAGCTGGAGAAGGTTTGGAGAATGACATTTTAGTTTTGGATTTAAAGCCCAGTTTGATGATGAGCTGTTGAAATGTTTGACAAACCGACACATCTCCTAAATCTATGAGACTATTTAGGTTATTGTTAAACACTGGCAGCTCTGGTGTTTCACTGTATTTGAACAGAGACAGTATCAGAATTCATTTAAATGCTTTCATCTAAAAAAAACTCTGCTCAACATTTGAAATGCAACGAAAGTTCCTAAAAGTTTAGGGCATGGGACTTTTTAATGGAATTGGATTACATGAATAACATTATCAGACTTCCAGCTACTGAAGACAAGACATCCTAAAATGCTCTCTTGTGCACTTTGCCCACCAGGAAGTTGACAAAAAGAAAAAAACAAACAACAAAAAAAGCTCAGAAATAAACAACATTGCTCTGCATCATATATTTCTTGTCTTTTCTTTGTGGCTGCTCTTATTCTGACACTCAGAAATGTTTGGATACTGTGAATGCAAACATCTTCTTTGTGACTCCACGGCCTACTTTTCTCCTCGTGAACCTTCGGCTTCTTTTCTTGTAAATGATGGTGGTTGTAGAAGAAGACCTACCAGTTCTGCTGCAGTTCCAGACTCACTGTGCCATAAATCTAAAATGATGGAGCTCCTGTCAAAGTGTGACTGTCAAGCAAGGATGACGGCAGGAATTTGTAAAAACCACCGACGTGACAGTTTAATCCCTGCACGGGTCACATGTGCTGCACATCATACAGATAGATCTGAAACTGTCGCCTTTACAGTTTGCTAATTGCATTGTTTTAATTTGTGATTTGGAATTGATTCAGTGGTGCAAAAGGGAAAAGCCTGACTGCAGAACTTGAACTTCACATCGTACTTTTACATGATTGTAGTGTTTGTTGGTGATGACCTGCATACCTGTAATATGTGGGAACAGTCCAGTCTGGGTGGATTCTGCAGGTGCAATGATTTACCACCTGTTAGTGTAAAAGTACACAAAGCACAGAATGTGCCTGTTCACCTGCTTCAGTTGTTGCACCGAGGCACATTGCTAATAAGTGTCTTTACTCAGGTGTGGGACATGAGAGTTAAAAAGTTCATGACCGTAATTGATGAACAGCTCCAGAGTGCAGAATGTGACAGACAACCAGTCGTACAGGCTTCCTGCTCACAGCGTGGAGAGGAGACGGAGCCTCACGGGCTGCAGAAGGGGGAAGCTCTGTGACAGCTGGGAACACCGTGGACACCATGTACTTTAAGAACACTGCTGCTTGTTGTTGAGTAAAGCAATTCAAATCAAATATTCCAGGACACACAAAACAACCAAAAACAAAAACACAACATGACCGTAAAGAGAAGCAAAACAACCACACACACGTGTACAATAAGCACATACAGAAGCAACATGACCACTGAAGGCTCAAAACAATCATAAAAGAGGCAAAATGAGTGAAAAATAAATAAATGAAAACTGCTAAAATGACCATAAAACAACATAGAAGAACCACATAATACAGAAAACCGCCTGCAAAACAGCCTCATCAACGCCAACATTAAACTTTGTTGGAGTCTCATCGTTTTTAATGTTTTATATACAAGAGAGAACTAAAAGGCTGTAAGTGATGAGTAACCAGTTAGACGGTGCTGTGGGTGGGACGGACCATAGAGCGGTAATGACAGATAACCAAAGTCGCACACTTTTGAATGTTTAGTTTTGAAAAATGAGAGATATCAGTGCTGACATCTGATAATTGGCCAAGCCGGTAGTCAGTTGGTCTCAAGTAGAGATGCACGATGTATCGGCAGCCACATCGGTATCGGCCGATATTAGTGTTTTGTCCCATATATCTGTATCGGTCTGATGAACAAATTTAGCCGATGTGAAAACCCGATGATTGTCTAACATCAGAGCCTTCGTCTCTACGTTTGATGTTGCTGCTGTTTCACAGATGTTTTTACTTAAATGATCCTGGACTTGAATATGTTAAAATATGTTTAAATGTGGTCTAATGTGGGCTTCTTTTGAATAGTTTTCACATTCTCACAGTGCGTACTTGTGCTAATTTTTCGGTGTGAACAAAAATTAAATATCAGCATCGGTGATATCGGTTATCTGCGATATCAGGAATCTTAATATCAGATATCGGTATCGGCCAGAAATGTAAATATCGTGCAGCACTAGTCTCGAGTGAATATCAAACTTACAATGTGATGTTTAGTAAAGAAATTAAATGCAGTACAATACAAAAACATCTTTAATTGTCAATGTCGTAGAAACTGTTTTTATTTTTGGATGCTTAACAACAAACGGACTGCTGACGTAAATTTGCTATTTTAGCTCACTCAGGTGAACTAATGTTTATTTAAATATTCATTAATGTAATACAGTCGTCACAACAGTCACTCAAACAACTAGAAACTGAAAAGAGTAATAATAAATAAAAATGTGTTAAATTATAATTTAGTAAAATAAGACGTTGCTTTTGAATTGTGGTTGAAAAGAATAATTTAAAAAAAAAAAAAAAACAGTCCTGGACTAATGAGAGCACTTTGCTGATGAGCAGGTGAGCAGTGGTCCAGAACACCTGTCAACAGGTGCAGAAGTCTGACTGAGAGTTACAGGAAACACCTGATGGCAGTGATTGGCTCAGAGGGTTGTTCAGCTGCATATTAGTTCATGGGTCCCATCAGGCTGGTTTGCTTGTGTGTGTGTTTTTTTTTAAAATATTTATGTTGAACCACAATTCAAAAGCAACATCATGATGTTCATTACATTTCTATTTATCATTACAGTTATTTCAGTGATTTTTTCCTTCTTTAATGGGAGGGTCATTTCAGGTCAACTGTTCATCTCTTTTTAAATAAACACATTGAAGGTGAAATCATCTTCATACATTCTATATATCTGAGATAAATCTGGAATATTCAACTGAGTAAAAGGCGTCAAATTTAACTTAAAAAGTCTAACGAGTTGACTAGTAGAGACAAACTGAGTAAGCATTCCTGGAGATGCACTTTAGTCGTTCTTTTCAGTGCTTCGGGGAAAAACACACGCATGGAGAATGTCACTGCTTTCTTCTCGCTGAACATTACATAATTTAAATCTTCATTTTAATCTTTCAGGTTAAGACTTTTTGGAAAAATGTGTCGTGTCAACAACACATTGTGTTTAGACAATGACGCTGCAAAAAGAGCTCATACCAGCCGGCCTTGTTCGTTCTGCTCTCTGACTCAGTGAACTGAGAACACTCTGACCTGGTCAGTCTGCATTTTTTTCACGGTGACAAACCCACATGACTCTGCAGTTTGTCTCAGCGTCACGGAGCATCTTACTGTCTTTCATCTCATTTACCACGTACTTCTATGAACTGTAACCACAATCCTTTGACATTTTCTCTGGTATCAGGTTTATATGTCGTAACATGACGAAACATTTCATTATTTTCTTCGGTGAATGTCAAACAGCTGGCTTGGTTTCTGGGCGTGCGCCTCCATTGGAAGTAATTGCTGATGTTTCATGACAAAAACTCAATTAAATGACTATTTAAAGGCCACTAAAACACACAAGCCTAAAGAGATGCTAAATGAGTACCAGAGGAACAAAAAGAGAAATAACAGACATTTAAACAATTACAAGCAACAAAAGATGTGCTCAAACGATGCAATCTACCAAAAAGACAAACGAGTTCGTCCCACAGATTGTCAGAGGGCTGCATGTAAAACACATGAATCTGAAAACACGTGAAACGTCCTGCAGCTACAACAATCACACAACCAAATACACACATATGTGAGTTAACAGAGTCCAGAACTCCGTGGGCACACAACACGTTACGCAACATATCTCTGTTTGTCCTTATCTGTAAGTCACACTGTTTGTGTGTTTTCCCTCCTGGCTTGTGTTGTCGACATGTTGTTGTGATTAAGTCAGATGGGTGCAGATGTTTTCTTCATATGTTTTATTTGTTTGCATGTTTTCTGCAGTTTCTGGGCAAGAAGCGGTGGTGAGAGGAAACTGAGCAGTAAATTACATTCAAAAGCAATGTTAGGAGCTGGACTGACTCTGAGTGCTCAGATGTATTCATCCACTTCCACTAAAGAAAAGGCAAAACTCACAACAGTCACTCAAATAACTAGAAACTGAACAAAGTAATAATAAATAAAAATTTGTTAAATTATACTTTAGTGAAATGAGATGTTGCTTTTAAATTGTGGTTGAAAAGAATAATTTAAAAAAATTAAACTGTCCTGGACCAATGAGAGCACTTTGCTGATGAGCAGGTGAGCAGTGGTCCAGAATACCTGTCAACAGGTGCACAAGTCTGACTGAGAGTTACAGGAAACACCTGATGGCAGTGATTGGTTTAAAAACGTTGTGCTTCTTTGTGGTCGCTGTAATGTATGAAAGCTGTAATTGTTGGGTTCAAGTGTTGGGTGGCGTGACTTTGACTTCGTCACCGTCACCTTTGTGTATTGTTGTTGACTTTGACAGTGTCCTTGTTCCTTCAAGGAAACTTGCAGAGAACTATGACAGCAGTTTAACAGGTTGTTCCATCGGTCGATGCCGATATATAAACTCAGGTTCCTTCTAAGAGCAGACACAAGCAGAGAAGCAGCTTCCTTCAGAAGATAGAATCCATCAGGAGGACGAGCGCAGTAAGAAAACCTCCTTCATGCTGCTTTTATTGCAATATTATCTGTTTTTGTTCTATTTTGTGACAAGTAGCAGCGACATCTGATGTTTAATTTCCTTACTTTTTCTGTCAATTTATTTATTTATTTGTTTGCTTATTACTTTGATGCTTATAAAGACAATAACGAAGTAGAAATTTGAAGAAAAAAAACAATTTACCAACTGCAGACTCTGGTTTGGAAGCATACAACCGAACTATTCTCTTCTTTGTGAACATTTTAAAGTTGTTTTAATCCGATTTTGCATATATATTTGAAGTCAAAAAAAAAAAAAGTTCTGCAAATTAACCAAAGAAAATCTGAAATCTCTCTCGAGCAAAACATTTGGTTAATTACATGAAATAAGTCGTGTGCTTTTTTTCCTTGTTCACCAAATGTTGTTCACCATGTCTTAAAACAAGACAGAGAAAGAAAATTAATGATGCTACGCTCCCATGAACTTGACTTTTACGTGTCAAGGATCAGCTCAAGTATTCTCACTGCCCCGACAAGTGTTTCACTTGTTCAAAAAATCCTGAATACATTTGAATTCCTGATAATGGAGACATTTGCAGTACAGAATAATGATTTTTTTTTGTAGTGCTCTTTGTGGTAACATGTTAGAACAGAGACTGACAAAGCAGCATTGCTCTGTATTTGCTCCTGATATACTTTGACCAGAACCATATTGTCAACTATTGTCCCCACTAGAGGGCCACATTCACACCAGTACAGGACGTTTACAGCTGCTTCACTGAAGTTTGTCAGTTTGCAGCAGTCTTTTAATGTAATTTTTTTGGTGGACATAGCTTTCAAACTAAAGCTACGTGCACCACCTCATGCTCCTTTTCTCACAGCCATGTTTCCGTTTTGTCTTTTCCCCACACAGCGTGCTGACATGAAGCTGGGCTTGCTGGTGGTGCTGGCCGTGGCGGTTCTGGCGCCCAGCCTTTCTGAGAGTCGGCTCGTCCCCAAATGCGAGCTCAAAACACTGCTCTGTGATGAGATCAGCCTGCCTGTAAAGCTTGAGAAACACAGGGAGAAAATCCTAGAATACCGTAAGGTTGATTAATGTGGCTGGTTAAATAACTCATGACCTCCAGAATCATACATACTGAATATTAAGTGCCTATACTGAAGCACTGGCCTCAACCTTCTGCTACACTACAATTTAGAAGTAAATATTGTTCTTTTTTTTTTTTTGGATAACTTTAGTCACTGCTTGCTTTAATGATTCAACTGACGTTTTGTTAGCAGTATAACACATTCATTACTGCCCCAATAATTTAGATATATGATATTGTCGCATACATTACTGATGATTCAATAGTAGTTTTACTTTTTGCTACTTAAAATGCACTTTTATAATAATGGTTTCGTAATTGTTAACACTTGACTTTTACTTGAAGCAGCTTATTTTAGCCTTAGTTAGCCTGTTAGTTGTCCTGATGCAAAGATTGCTGACTGACAAAGAGCACGCAGGAAGTAAAACCACTTTGACAAATCAAGTGTGAAACTGTTCGAAGTGCTTATGTGCTCATTTCATTTTTCAGTAGATGTGGTGAGTCAGTGACACGGAGGCAATAAAGAGATGTTTTAGATTAATGGTCCAATCACAAGTGTAGCCTCCAGTTCAGTTCAAATCATCTGATGCAAAGACAAAATCTGACTTTTAATGACTTTTAAACAACGCATTTATTGTATGAAACGAATCAGTGCTGTTGATTGTAGTCTGGGGTTTTGCTGAATCTTCCAGTATCGATTAATTTTTATGTTATAATATTAGAAAATTGAATAGACTGGTTACCTGTCCAGGTGAACCTGCCTTCACCCTGAGTCAGCTGGGATAGGCTCCAGCCGCCCATGACCCTAGTGAGGGTTAAGTGATGTATAGATGATGGATGGATGGATTAATGCCAACCATCAGAAAGAGATAATCGTTTGTCCCACACTTTTTCGGGGGTGCTGCATGTAATTTTTGAAAACTTGCTAACTATAAAAGTAGCCACTCAGAGAAACTAAGAACACATACAGTAAATTCTACATGTCAAAGGAAGATAATGGCTCATACTGACTATGTCTTTTCCTTCATTGTTCTGTGCCACACATCCAGTTACTTACAGTTTCTTTAGGAAGTCCCGCCTATACACCAGCGTAGTGTTCAGCAAACGCGTAAAAAGAACAACAGCAGCAAAGAAAACAACAGTAATCATAACTCTCCCAACATTAAGAAGCACTGAAAATTCCACTCAAGAAATGACTAGTGGGTCATCCACCACCAAGTTAATGATCACAAACTCGACAAGTGGAACATCCACCACCAAGTTTATGACCACAAACTCGACAAGTGGAACAAACAGCACCGATGACCACAGACGAAAGCGAGAGGCTGATGCAGCCATGAGTTATGAAGATGAAGAGCAGGACAGTGAAGAGGAAGAGGACAGTGTAGAAGACAGCGAGGTCTCTGAAGATGAAGAGGAGGACAATGAAGGCGACAAGGAGGACAGTGTAGAGGAAGAGGAGGTCACTGAAGATGAAGAGCAGGACAGTGAAGAGGAAGAGGACAGTGTAGAAGACAGCGAGGTCTCTGAAGATGA